CCCCCCCCCCCCCCCCCCAACCTCCACACGCACATACAAGAATGCTTACATAGGTGTTGAGCTGACGAACAAAGCTTGAGAAATTGTTGTGCTTGAAGTTTTTAGGGAGCAAATCAGTCGAAAATTTGTGGGGATCCCACACAATGAAGCTGTTCCTCATAGAGCCCCATGAAATGATGGCCTCTGTTGCAGGGTCATCTACCATCTCAAATGTTTTCTTCAAAAATGGCGATGGCCCCATTTCTCTAAGCCCTTCCATTGGTTGTGGCACCACACTGCATGCACAGCCGCCGCCGCAAACAATATTCTCTTCTTCTTCTTCATCATCAAGTCTTATCAAAGGCTCTTCTTTCACAGTAGTGATCGAGACTTCATCTTGGCGACTATTTTGTTCCATATTTCTATCTAGTTCTTGCTCCCTTTTGAGGGTTTTGAGCTGAAAGTGTAAATCTTTATCTTTATCAGTCTATTTGGTGAGAAAAGGCAAAAGGGTTCCGTGTAGAAGAAGAGTTTTTGGCGGAAAAATGGTCTGTATTTGCGTATATAGTACAGATGGCTCATCATAGGGTCATGTGTGGGTGGTGAGTTAGAGAGGCAAGGAGAGAGAAAACGGTGCAAGATAAAGATAAAAATAGAAATAGAAATAGAAAAAGGGTGAAAATTTCATGGATTAATCTCCTTGTAAAGGCATTCATAATGTACAAGTGGCAGTCTCCCATTTGGGGTCGGCTGACGCGTATGGCATCCATAATGCACTCCTAGCAGAACCGAAATTTCATTTGTATCACTTAACTAATTTGTCAATTGGACTACTATACTTACATTTTAATTTCAATTGGATGTTAAACTTTAATATAGTTTTAAGTTTCACCACTTCACACGTTGTCTCACAAATTGATTAGAATCATTTTTTAAATTATGCTATTTGTATAATATTTTTGTACAACATTGTTGACAATATTGATAGTGACAAAAAATTATTGATTGAAGTGATGAATTGTTTTTTAAATTATTAAATGACAACATGCCATGTGACACGTTGTCAACAACGATGTCAAAATTATTATACACCAAACATTGTTCTTACTTTTTTATGAAATTGATTCCTAACATGATGATATTTCACTATGCCACATCAAAAAAATGTTATAATAAAATATACGTCTTTGGATATTTTAATCTAAAGACATTTTCATAACTCTTATTTTACCATTAGGCGACGAAGTATGACAGAATAATGAAATTTGAAATTAAACTAAAGATCAATCAATAGCTAAATAAAATCCCATCTTCCAAATTGATGAAATTCATTTAATTGGTTGTCATACCGCAACATATTTATCATGGAATTATTGTATGGCATGCAAACTTACAACTAAATCACAACATAAAAGACTTTTAATAAAAAGAAATGATGTCTTTTAATTTATTAATCTAAAGACATTGTCATAACATCATTTTACCGTTTTCATTTCTAGGATGCCACATAGAATTTACAAGAAAGATAAATTAAGGTGTGACTTTCAACTAAAGCAAGTTTTGAAAATGCTTTAAATCACGAATAGATATAAATAATCAATAGATAAATAAGTAATACTTGTGAATCTCATTAAATGTGTTGATTAAAAATGTTTTGACCGATCATAAACATTAGACAAACATGAGCTAAGTAAATTATATTAGATTAGGCGACAAAATTATGTGTTAGAGCAATGAAGTTTGAAACTAAAACTTGTTGGTACCAAAAATAAAGTAGTTGATTCAATAGCACGAGCTGTGATAAACGTCTGGTGTCATTATGTTAATTAAAAATAGTTTGACAATATGTTAACACAACAACAGAAACGAGATTTTATAAGTTTAAGGACTTGAGAATGAAACAAAAAATATGAAGACTCAACCGTAATTTATTAAATTTAATTAACAAATTAATTTATTCATAGGGAACCAAATGAGATTTTGTCAAAAGTTCAATGAACAATGAGAAGAAGGTGATGGATGTGTTTGTCTAAAAGAACGCCAAAGAAGGGAAGTGAGTCAGGGAACCGCTACAGTATGTTTTGCCATTTGTAGCATTGTGATGCATACAAGTACGAGTTCCACACCTCATCCAGTCCCTCAACTTTCTAGAAACTTCTCTTTGACCCACAATATTTATTGAAGATTGCAAAAGGGACCCCACAAAGTTGTAAAATATTTGCAGTATTTTTCTTTTAAGTCGTCGTGTAAAATGGTTAGAGTTGTCTAGGTTTGAAAGATAGGAACATATATGGCTCGATTTAAGATATGTTCATGTTATTAGACCAAGCTTACTTGCCAAAAGAAATCAAGATAATTTAGTTGTAACGTGCCTGAAAAGATGATCGTTAGGAATCAATCTAGATGCATGCACGGATGACATATTTTCAGTAAATGAAAGAATAAATAATAGCAAGGTTTGGTGATTGGCTCGATACAAAGAGTCATGATTTTGATCATTCTTCACGTTTTTCGAACAAAGATGGCATGGATACAATCATCGGAAAACAAATCAAACAAAGTTGGAGTGGATCTATCCATCAGAAAGCAAATCGATTATCCACATATATCATTCAAGTGTCTGGAGATTGGTTATTAAAGATCGTTCAACATTGATCATTCTATACATATTTGTGAACATCATTAAAATTTGACGTCTAGATATTAATGTATATGCAATTTGAACAAAGTCAAGTATGATATCTAAGCATAACTAGTTAAGAACATATGTGATGCATGGAACGTTTTGTAATAAGTTTGTAAATTTTTTTCGACTCACAAAATGAGATAATTATGATGAGATGAAATTCAAGCTATTTCAATTGAATTTCTCATAGCATTAACATGTTCAATTTGTAAACAAAGAGATTGTACCTGTGCAAAATTGAATGGCACAACTCTTGGGTGAGCTATGTAATTGAGATAGAAATACATTAAGAATCTCAATCGCTCATCTTTAAAAACTCGATAATCCAAAAATAAAATAATACCATGTTCAAAGTATTTTAATGGGATAGAAGATACAGTGATTCGGGGCAGATTCAAAAACTTGGTCTTGAAGGCTGAAATTTAAAAAATTTAACGTTAATAAAATTCATGTATAACATAAAAGACATTACATTATTTCTTGAAGTAGTTTTCGATATGGAGTGTATTGTCACTAGATTGATGTACCCTTAAAAAGAACGAAAATAAGTCTTTTTTTTGTGGGGGGTCGATCTTTCATTGGTAAACTCTACCATGCAAAAATAATTATAATTGATCAATAATTCAACACTTCAAAAACAATCTAAAATTCAAACTATAAGCTAGTAAGGCAAGAAATCCAACAATAAGGTGATAAGGCGACAACAATTCAATTTATTAAATAATAAGCCGACAAGACAACAACAATTCAACAATTTCATTTCCATATAAAATTGTTACTTATACACAATAAAAATTAGCTGATAAATGAAAAAAAAAATAGCGATGTTAAGCATAGTACCTTCGAAATGTTATATGTGTACCTCATCGATGTGAAATTAAGTGTGAAACAACCAGGCAGAATTGCTTTATTCGAATTAAGTAGTATATTGATTCATGATTCTTTTGCATAAAAAATATATTGTAAATTAGGAATTCACTTTTAAATTGGAACAACTGCAAATTGCACTTTGTTGACACCGACCTCCGAGATTACTTAGTTCGGATTGGTGTACCCAGNCACAATCACAACTCTTTGTGATTAACAAATCACCAAGACTTGAATCTACGGAATTCTATTATTTAATTTATTAGAATATTAATTCAATTAAATAACAGATATTGCCATATATATGCATTGATTATATATATTCAAAATGTTTATGTCCAAAGTTGATTGGACTTAGGGCATAACACTTACAGTACTGTCACTAGATTGATCCACCCTTAAAAAGAACGAAAATAAGTCTTTTTTTGTGGGGGGTTGATCTTTCATTGGTAAACTCTACCATGCAAAAATAATTATAATTGATCAATAATTCAACACTTCAAAAACAATCTAAAAATCAAACTATAAGCTAGTAAGGCAAGAAATCCAACAATAAGGTGATAAGGCGACAACAATTCAATTTATTAAATAATAAGCCGACAAGACAACAACAATTCAACAATTTCATTTCCATATAAAATTGTTACTTATACACAATAAAAATTAGCTGATAAATGAAAAAAAAAATAGCGATGTTAAGCATAGTACCTTCGAAATGTTATATGTGTACCTCATCGATGTGAAATTAAGTGTGAAACAACCAGGCAGAATTGCTTTATTCGAATTAAGTAGTATATTGATTCATGATTCTTTTGCATAAAAAATATATTGTAAATTAGGAATTCACTTTTAAATTGGAACAACTGCAAATTGCACTTTGTTGACACCGACCTCCGAGATCACTTAGTTCGGATTGGTGTACCCAGTAAGGGGATAATGACGTGAGCTCGGATATGCGAGATCAGTTCGGATCTTGAGTGGCTTACTCAAGAAGTTTGTGTAGTCCTTCAAGGTGAAATAATGAATAATGATCAAGAATCACTGACAGGATATACGGGCTATCCATTAGGGGGATAAGCATGGAAAGGTCTTACGTCAGAGCCCACATTATCCTTCAATCAAAAATCTTAACCTCCATTCCTAAGTAATGCATTAATTGCTGGAGACCACCTACACCAGTAACTCATGATCAACCGACGGAGCCTAACTCGGCAACCAATCCTATTACGCCAACATATGTACTTATTTAGCTCGGTATTGCAAATTGACATGACAAAAGGTACATTGTGCATGCATTACCTCACTATAAAAAGAGAAGGGGAGGGGACGAGAAGGGAGGGGGGGGCACACTTTCTCATTCTCTTCATATTTCAAATATCTCCTATAATAGGGAAAAAGTGTATGATTATGTAATAATCTTGTAATCTGTTCGTAAAGGATCAATCAATTTCGTGTTTATTCCCTAAGTTGGCTTGAATATTGTCTATACATTTTTCAACGTCAACATTTTAGCGCTGGATGGAGGGCCCCAACTTGAAAAATAGCCCCATCTCTTCACAAAATTCATAAAATAGTATCATGGACGAATTTTCGGTATCTGGAAATCAATCCCATACCCATCCCGAACATACCAGTGATTCAAGAAATCCTGAAAGATGAGGTCAAAATGAAACTATCTACCCTCAAATGGCGACAATGAAGGAAGCCATTGAGAAATTGACAAACATTGTCAGTAAGCTGGAACAAAACCAAGCTCAGAATCTGCTACAGGATACCGTGGTGGAATCTCCTCGCTGAGAAAAAACCAAGTGACTTCCCACTAGAAGAACCCTACAATTTTCGAGCGAGGAATCATCCAAAAGTCG